ATGGATATCCCCTGAAAATAGAAATTACTGTATTTGCAACAGACGGGATAAAAAAGCGTCCACTTGGCTTATTCCCTATGCATATCTAATTTAAAGTTCTTTGCCCTATTTCCCTCCTGGGTGCAGAACCATGGCTTCCCCTGGGGACCAAAGCACCTCAGTCTCACTGCACATGAATGCTGGAAAAGCAAAGGCTTTTGTCTGTCTCTCGAGTGAATATGCTGAATATATATTCTTTATGTTTTGTTTGTTGGGGTTTTTTTTTAATGCTTGTGAATTAAACATACTCATTCTTCAGGTGATCCTCATCTCCTGCGCTTGAGTTGGTTGGCACTCTTGATGTGTGATCAAAGCAGAATTGACATGTACTTAGTTTTTATGGTATAGAGGAAAATTAACCTAGAAGATAATTGTCTGGGGTCCCAGAGGCGTGGGCTGACCCCCACAGCAGGTTGCCATCACTCCAACTCCCATGCTGGGGACGCGCGTCTGGTGAGATGATGGCTTTGTAGGATTAGGTTCAGCGTCTGCAGCCAAAATAAAAATCCACAATATAGGTCTTTTTGGTGCCTCAGCCACAGCCTAACCCTCCCCAATAGATGTTATGAAGACTTGGTAATGTTTATGAGAAACATCAGCTTCCCTAATCGTTCATTGATCTGTTGTTCTGGGCAGGATGATGAAGTTTTCGCTGTTATTTTGCTCTGTTTCACTCAGATTCATTTGACTCGAGCCGAAGGACAATTTAAGATGGCAAGGAACAATCTTGCCTTTTACTCCCAGCTGACAGGATAATTCTGGCTTTGCTGTTGGGAGCTTAAAACGCTTTACCTGTGCTCAGCTAATACTAGTTGTAATTAAGGGAAGAGGTTGCTTAGAGCTCGTATTTACAGTTCATCACCTGAAAAAAGAACCTCTGAAAAGAACCCTTTTATTTTTTTGGTGTCGTTTTGGTGTCATTTTGGGATTTTACCCGACGCCTGCCCACCCGCGCCCTCTGAAGGGGCTGCCCCGGCACGGCTGAGGGGGAGCAGCGGCCGCCATTGTGTGGCAGCCCCCTGAGGCGGCAGGGTGGGGCCTGGAGGCACCAGGAGTTTCGGGACGTACAGCTTCGACTGGGTCTGTTGTCATCTAAAAGTAACATGGTTTTAGATTTAAAAACAAAAAATTAGCTATGTTAGGGCTAGTAGAGGTTGTTAGAAGATTGGTTTATAGGCTATCATATTTGTTTTTTGGGGTGCAGGGCAATGCTGGGCCGTAAACTGTAGGGCGCAAGAACTCGTCTCCTGTCTGAAAATGTAGATGAAGAGCTTTTCTCTGGTAAATATATGAGACTTGAATCCTGTGGCTTGGTGTGGTTTTAAAGGAGCTTGTGAGGCTTTAGATTTGTTAAGGATTAATACTTTTTTTTTTCTTTTTTACATTTTTTCCCCTCAGTCCTTTTGTTTCCTACTAGAAGCATGCCCTTTCTTCTTACAGGATCCCAGTCAATTCCCAGTCAAAATAATGCTGCAATAGGGTTCAGGGGAGTCCCACAAAATCACAGTATTCAGCAAGTAAGACTGTAGATTGCCAGAGTTCATTTGGTTTTCCCCACTGGAAACTTTTAGCTTTATGTCTGTTGGTGATTCACCTGCCTCTTTGCATTCCAGTTGTAGGTTATGGGAACAAAATGCAGTTGTTTGCACCCTTGTCTTCTTTTTTTCTTTCCTGAGGGAAAGACTCATGAGTAATGTGTTTTTGCAAGGACCTCCAGTCCTGGCAGGAGAATCAAACTAGGAGGTGAAACTACCGCTGTTGTGAATCACTCCAATTTCTCTGTGGGGCACAAATTAATGTTGAAGCGAATGCAGCTCCAATAGAGCATTAGGATACCTGAGCTTATACCTGAGTTCAGGATACCTGAACAGGAAGGCGTTCAGCCTTGTATACAAAGGATGGGAGGTTCAAATCATGTCTATCCTTGGCATGAGTTGCAGAGGAGGAGACCAGGCTGTCTTATCTCATCTGGTGTGAGGATTTGTGAGTCTGTATGGAAGACAACAGGCATCTTTGCAGTGACTCTGACAGGGCATGGAGTGAGCTCCAAGCAGGCACATATCCATTTTCAGTAAGAAGCATGTCAAAACTAGCAGTGACTGGCAAAGTGACACACTGGCCAGCAGTGGCCAAAACCTGAGCTGCCTGCTGCAGTCCCAGTACGTTTTTTTTAAGCTGGACCAATCAGAACACACGCCATCCTGCAAAACATGTTATTGCTCTGCCTTTTTCATTAAAATTTGTAATAAAAGAAAAAATAGAAGTCCAAGTTTATATAACAGAGCACTAGATTTTGTCAGTCAGGTTACTGTGTTCTAGTAAATTAGAAATCCTTAGGTTTATTTCCATCATTTTTTTTTTGCAAGGACAAATATTTAAGTTTCTTTAGCAAAGAATAGGTGTTGCAATACTGATGGAAGCTATGGGACTGGAAAGGACCTTCTGGCTTGTAAAAACACTTGCCATAATTTGTCATTTCAGTTAGATAAACCAAACAAAGTACCAAGGCTTCTGGGCTAGGGGTGGCAGTTCACAATTATCAACAACAAAACCTTGTCCTTTTCTCCTCTTTTTTTTTTTTTTAATTTAATATTTTTAATTTTGGAATGAAGATTTGCTGGTGAGTGTGTGTGTAATTTCAGTGCCATGCTGAGTTAGGGTCCTTTCAGGTGGACTTGCTGTACAGCATTAAATAAGACATACCCTAAAAATAGAAAACATGGTTATAAGTGACAAAAATTGGCAGGGAGAACTTGGTCAGAGGCAGTTTTGGAAGTGCTTTTAATTTTTTTCAACTCCATTCCAAGTTAAACATCCCTTTAAATTAATTAGAGCAATCATAGTATCCTAGAATATCAGTGGGGAAATTGAAGCCATGAGTATAATCTTAATATTACCTACATTCTGAAGACAGGCTAAAAAAGCCAGCTTCAGGAAATCTTTGCGTACAATGAAAAACAAATTCCTGACCAAACTGGCAAGGCTGAAATGTCTGAAAGCAAAGAGCTATCATGAAAGTGCTGGAAAGCTTCTGATTATAATGGAATCAGTGTCCCAGGGTATAATGCAGCTCTACATTTAATATTGAGCTACTGAACCGTACTCCTCAACCTAGCTCAACTCACTGGGTTCTCATCAAAGACCTGTAATGACACTGTGCTCTGTTTAGATGCCAAGCAAGTCTTGAAATAGCTCCAGAGCTCTTTCAGCAGCTTCAGCTGAGTACAGACGCCTGACTTTAGAGGGAGAGCTAATGCCTGGAGTTTGTAGCATATAAATCCTTCCTTATGTATACTGCCACACTTGTTAATAATCTTATGAACTTTTATAAGCCTAATTAAAAGGCTCTTACACACTTACATATGAAATCATGGCAACAGCGCTGAACCAGCCAAGCAAAAGCCTGTCCTTTGTGCTGCAAATCCATGTCGCCTTTCTTTATTAATTATACATACACAACACATTTAATTCAATGCCTGCTATTGTTTGACTGTATGTTATTATTATGGTATTGACTGGAGTCCCCATCATGTTAATTACAGTCTGTGCACGTTACTCTAAGCAGAATTTTTCTTTCTGTGTCTTGTTTAAGGTATTGACTTTGCCAAAGGGAAGAAAAAAGGGCATGCGTTCACTTAAGCACACAAGTAGTTGTATCAATTTTTGTCCATTAAATATACATGTACACAAAAATACACACGTACATGGTGGTTGCTGGCTGTTGCAGGTGAGATTTGAAAACCATATTGAAGATACCCTTTGCTACATAGAGGTCCTGTGTCTGGGAGCAGCTCTGGGCAGGAGCATCCCTCAGCCTGTGTGAAGTCCTGCTGAGGATGGTGGGGCTCTATGCGAGTGTTGAAATGACACTTTCCAAAGGCATTTGCAGATTTCTAGGCCATGTATCTAAATTGCTTAGGATGAACTTTGTTTTCTAAAACAGAATACTTTTAAATCTTTTTTTTTTTTTTTTTTTTTTATCTAAATTGCTTAGGATGAACTTTGTTTTCTAAAACAGCATACTTTTAAATCTTTTTTTTTTTTTTTTCCTTTCTAAAAAATCTTAGTTCTGTTAATCTTTTGGACTTTGAAATGTCTTAGTTCTGTTAATCTTTTGGACTTTGAAAAACTCTTTCTAGTTACTGGGTTTTGTGGTGGTTTTGTCCTTTGCGACTCAGGCAATCAGTTTCTGAGTATGAGCAGGAGGGTTATTGAGTAGTTCATCTAAAGCAGACAGATTTCAGCCAACTCAAAGATGTAGTGATTGTTTTGCTAAAGGTTTTGATACCATTTTTGATCAAAGTCTGGGATACATAGCACGTTTAGTTCCAGTACTTCCAAATTAAACTCGAAGTTTAATCTTTGCAAATGTTCAGTGATTGATTTCATTTAGAGGTACAAAAGTGGGTGTTAATACATCTGTGCTTTGTCTTTATTTACTGTTGTAACCCCCCCCCCCGTGGCCCCCCCTTTCTACCATTCTTTTGGGTTTGATACTGAGCCCTTCCCTAGGTGTCTCTCTTACTGCATGTTGTGTCACTTCAGTCTCCTGTACAACAGAGAGTTACTTGCAGACAGTCTGTCTTATCTGAACTGTGACATTGCCCCAGTAGATTGTGCTCAGCTCCTGCAAAGGCCTTTGACCTGGTCTCTGCTTTGAGTTGCGCGAAGTCATCGTTTTGTGCATCTTTAATACTTACTATAAATTTCTGCTCAAGTTTAATAAAACTGAGAAGAATATCTACCTCTTCATCTTCTAGTTTTCCAACCAGTACCTCTGATAAACTCAGTTAAATTGAAACAGAAATGTGGTTAAGAAGTTGAAACAGAATTTGTTCTCCAAAGTTTCTTTTTTTTTCTTGGATACCAGCATGTCATACTAAAATACGCACTGTATGAGAAATTCAGAACAATTAAAAATGGACCATTTCTAATGTGTTTGTTTAATTTTTGTCTTTCAGTCTATCCGAGAAGTCACGGGCTATGTTTTGGTGGCTTTGAATCAGTTTGAATACCTGCCATTGGAGAACCTGCGCATTGTTCGTGGGACCAAACTCTACGAAGAGCGATACGCTTTGGCGATATTTCTTAACTACAGAAAGGATGGTAATTTTGGACTCAGGGAACTTGGCTTGAAGAACTTGACAGGTAAGTGAAACTCACAAGTGTCATGGATTAGTTGTAATAAAAAAATGAGCTTGTTGAATATTTGCCCCAGTGCCCTCAGTCACTTGCATTCTGCAAATGACATGTACCACGAGAGGCTGGCAGTTGTACAATGTTTGAGAGGCTCATTGGTACTTCATTTCATTCCTTTTTTGGTTCACAACTGTACTTTTCTCAGCACTGATCAAAGGCTGTGTATGAAATTCATGCCAAGAGCATACTCGAAACAAAAATAGTTGTTGAAAGAGTACATTAACTTTTTTCTTAGCTTCGAAAACATGAGCATGTTGATTTCCTTGTGATCCTTGGTTATTGCATGTTTATTGCTTTAGGTGTTATGTGTTTTCTGCCAAGTTAGCTTAGTTTTAGCATCCACTCTGCCTCTGCTCTTGCTGCTGTCAATATCACTACCTTTGCTGCTGCATTTGGGAGGGGGTGTGGGGTGTGGGAGGGGGAGGAGAGAAAGAGGATAGGAAGGGGTGACTGTATCTTGGGTGTATTTAATTTTAGAACTCCATTTTCCAAGCAAAAATATTGTATTATATATAGTGAGAAAAGTGCTGATTTTCTTGAGACAAAAACTTAAGCCAAGTCTGTGATTTTATGTTCATTTGTAAATTCCGGGCTGGATCATTATGTGGGATAGATCAACCTTTCATTTCTCCCAGCTGAGGATCTACAGTCAGTGGTTTGGGAGATTAAAAATTGGCTAAATATCACTGGACTGTAACTTAATAAAGTGCAGGCAGTGGCAAACTTTTTTTAGGGAAGTATTTTATTTATACCTCGTTCATCATCAGCTCTGATCATTTCCACCCTAAGCTTTGGTGATTATGAAATGGACTTATTCCTGCTAGGGGCTAAATGCTCACTGAAAATCACTGACCTGAGCTGGATGGGGAGTTTCAACCTGAATACAGAGAGGTGGGAGCCTCCTGAACTATATTTAGGCACCCTTCAATCTCTGCTTTTTTGTGTGTTGCAGTATTCAGAGCAGTACACAAGTGCTTACAGTTTCTTGTTCTTTTCCGAGACCATCACAAGACCACCAGAGTGCTTCCCAAGGTCTCTAAATAATCCCTGCCATCTCTTACTCTTCTCTCTCTCACTGCCATAATCCAATTTCCTCTTCCTCTGTTCCCACATTTTTTCCCATCTTTCTGATGTAGTGTGTTCATTGTGACTGTCTGTGCCTTCACATAATACAGAGCCATAGCATTGGGTAATAATAGTATTATATATGTTTCTTTGTATACTTTTTCTTGTCTGTGGATCTCAAAATGCTTTGTAGAAGACATCAGGTGAGTTGAAACTGGGAGGTGATGTAAGGCCAAGGTCAGAGAAGGACTGGAACCCTTTCCTCCTAGGTCTGAGGCTGCTGTTCTGCCAGGTAGTGAGGGTTGTATTTTCGGTACGTGTTTAGCCATGGCTTTGCTGCTCAGTAAGGTAAAAAAAAAACCCTTATCTTGTAGGCCCTGGCTCAAGATTTTCTTCTTGAACCAGCTGCCCTGCACCAACAGGCGGTTCATCTGACTCCAGAGATTCTCTCTGGAAGCTGTTTTTACATGATAGGCACGGCACCAAAACTGCCCTGCAAATTACTTTCTTTTCAGGTGTCAGGAGAAAACCTGCTTTAGCTCAGCCTCTGAATCTCTCCTAACATGAGATCATCACAGCCACTTCATCTGATTTAGGTGTTTACAAAGCCCTCTGATGGGATTATTTGGCTCAAAATGTATTGTTGTCTCTTGGAAGAAAAGTGGCCTAATAACACTAGCTTGTCTCCACTGAGCACTTAAAATAGCTTCTGGGTGCTGAATATGAGCCAGTTTGTACTTCAAAATACTCTTAATATTTTCTAGATAGTGTGTGCCAGGGCCTCATGAGTCTCTTCAGCAGCTGTTCTTTGACCATTTTGTGTACTGGTTAAGATGCACCTGGCTATTTTAACCCACAACTTGCTTCTTGTTGCAAATGCTCTCCCTGGAGCATATTAATACTTAATTTATTTTCCTGACGTATCTTTAGCATTTGTGGCTGCATAAAAATAACTGGTGGATGTGGGAGCCAGTGATGTTGCATGGCTGTGCTAGATCAGCTGTGCCTGAACCGATCCTGTGTCTACCAACTGCTCCCTATTTGCATCAGAAACAGTCAGTGATTTGATATTAAATTAAAGATGAAGCAGCCCCTGTGAGCTTGCATCCTTCAAAGCTTCTAGTCCACTGCAGATTTCAAGAGATTGGCTTTGAATGGTGCATCTCTTCCACTTGAGTTAAATACAAACACAACTCTTGCCATTCAGGTGAAGAACTGCCTTTCCAGGGCTTATGCCTTGTTCACAGGAGTTTGGGAAGTTCTGTTCTTACTTGTGCAGTGTCTGGATAATGGGATCCTGAGGGTATTTTTGCCCAATACTGCACAATATACAAATACAAACACTACTTCCTGTGTTAAATAAATGAGGAAGCCGCTCTTACCTGCAGATTATCCTAACCAGAGACAGGGGTTTCAGCCTCCACAGCACCACTGCATTATTTTCAGTGTATTGTTAACAGTGTCATTTTTATTGCCAGTTATTTCTTCAAATTTTCATCTTTAAATGTAACTTTAAATGCTTGAATTACCTCCCTTTTGCTATTAAAAAAAATGACAGCTCTGAAGGCAGTAAGTTTAATCTCACACAGAAAACACAATCCAGTTCTCACTCATAATGTCTGTCAACCCGAAACAGAGTTTTGTTTTGTGTAGCTCAGGCCAGGACTGTGTCCTAAAATCCATGTGACACTTGCAAAAACTCTCACCTAAAAAAAATCCTTTTCTTACTTGTTAGAAAAACTTAGGCAATGGTTCAAGAGAAGTGTCAAAAACAAACAGATATTGAACTAATGAAGTGGCTGCTACCATCTCAGCTGGACTCATCTCAGCTTGCAGCTCCAGCTGCCAAGTAGCCTTAAAGGAAAAAGGCAGGCTTGACACACTGAACGTATTATTCAGCCTGAGATTAGCAGAATAACCGATGCTGAGGGAGAAGGTATGCCACCTCCTTCCATTCATTGCCTGCGAGCTAGTGCAAATCATTCCTGTCTTCCCCAGGTAGCTAGGCAGTCAACCTTAACTTATCCAATGAAAGGGCATAATCATTGTTCACACTTTGAGTACTCCAAATACAGAGAATACCTGATGGCTGCGTTTCATTACGGCATTTATCTTCATGAGTGGGGAAAGAGGGATAACTCACAAGTGCCAAAACCACTTATGAAGTATCCCATATTTTCCTCTGAGTGAAGATGAATAAGAGAGATCTACAGCAAATGATGTATCTTTGACTGAACAGTGATAACCTCATCTTCCCTATTAGCCTTGGAGACAGGCTGCCCTGCGTGTGCCTGTGCAACCATTTAATTCCTTTAGTATATAAGAATAAAAATGGGCTTAGCGGTGATTAGTTCGGTATCACAAAAAAGCAGCAAAATGTGTAGTTTCTTATCTGCTTGTTTTGCAGAAATGCAAGTAGATTGGACATTAAGATACCTGAGGTTCAAGTGGCAAATGCATATTGTAGCTGAAAGGATTTGGTCAGTGAGAGCCAAAGAAAGGAAATCTGATTTGATGGGCAGGAGAATCATAGGGAAAGGACCATTTTCACTGGGTGTAGAAAGTGATCCATTGTAAATTTCCCCTTCTACAGATTTTTGTAATAAGTTTTTTTTTTTTTAGGTTTTCACTAAATCTATTTCTAATTGTTCTACAAAACAAAATTTTCAAGTTCTGTGATCATTTGTTGTAAATTTCCCCTTCTACAGATTTTTTGTAATAAGTTTTGTTTTTTAGGTTTTGACTAAATCTATTTCTAATTGTTCTATAAAACAAAATTTTCAAGTTCTGTGATCATTTCTGTGACATTTTCACTTCCTTTTTCCCCCCCCCACAAGAAATAGCAAGTGCTAAGGGGTGCTTTAGAGGAGGGGAAAAAGAATGATCTCTCTTATGAAAAAGGTTGCTTTTCAGTTAGTTTCTTGGGCTTTTTTTTAACAAAGACTGCTCATTCGCTATAATTATATTGCAGCTTGATCAAGTTGGAGGAGTAGAATATCCCTTCAGTTTTATTCACTGTGCACGTTTTGTGTGCACAACACAGTGTACTACAGTGTTTTTGGAAATCTTATTTAGATGCCCACTCGGGGCCTGAGCTCCTTCCTGTGTGACTGCACAGAAAGCATTTTTGCAGCAGGGGTAAAAGGGCCCTCCCTTTTTATTACCTTGAACACGAAGCCCTCAGCCTGTGTCAGCAAGACCTTTCCTTGAACCGCGTGCACGCTGCCGAGTAGATGGTGTTTAGAGAACACCCGTGTGTGACACCCGGCCTGAGTGGAGGAGACTGGGGTGTGCTGATTGTGGCATATTCCTTAATCGCTGCGGCTCCGTACTGGTGGGGAGAGCTGGGAAGAAAGCAATATGTAACTTGCCTCAGGCTCCCTGTGCAACAGGTGGGCAAGGCATCGCATCTCTAACCTCAGAGAGGTGTTGCTAGGATACATGGAGGAATGAGGAATTTGTTTAAAAAATCCCTTTGGTACCATCTGCGTGCAGGGCTGCTGCAGGAGTTACCTGCCCTGTAGAAGAAGCTGCAGTGGCTCTGTGACGGCTCAGGAGGGGACTCCTTTCCCTGGATCCTAAGAGCTGCACGGACCACAGAGGCATTTATATCCCAGCACATCTTTGCTGGCCAGCCACTGAGTAGGAGAAAAGGGAGGAGCACTTTGAGCACGGCTGTGCTTCCCTTGGGAAAGGAGGGCTCTTCTGTGTGGTGGCCTCGTGGGCACGGTGCAGGACCTGCCGTGGGTTCCTCTCGCTCAGGTCACCCCTGTAGAAAGAGGGGCCAAGGTTTGTGGGTGCCCCCACAATCATAAATGCAAGCGTGCCTGCTAGCACATGGCTGCCTCCTCTCCCTCGGGACGCTGTCAGACTACTTCCCTGAA